TTCGCAGTATGTGTGTATGTATGTATGTATGTATGTAGGTAGGTAGGTAGGTAGGTAGGTAGGTAGGTAGGTAGGTAGTTTAAACTTTAAACATTTTTATACGCATGCATGCATACGACATTTATTGATATATACATGCACTCGCCAGCATTCATCACAATGGCTTCTATGCCTTATTTCTAAAAACCATGTTGTAACACAGCCACACAGCCATTCTGTTTTCAGGCCCCAAATTCAACCCTAAACGAACCTTATGGAACCATAGCAGAAGCCATAGAAACCCCATGGAAACGCTGAAGTAAAAAACCCTAAATCCTAGTCCCTCAGCCCCACAGCAAACTCCAAGCCCTTAACCCAAAACACTCAGGCCCAGGCGGGCTCGATGCTTGTTTAACGCCAGCGGAGACAGGGCCTTCCATGTCAAATGGCGTCGAATCTTTAGGGCTATAGGGGCTATAGGGATCTCTAAGTTAGACAACCCCCAAATGTGCATGCCATGCTTGTGATAAGGATCCTGAAAGGCTCGCATGCAGATGCGTGGGAACACAAGCCGGGAGTTCAGGGTGCATGGGGGGAGGCGAAATTCCTGGGGAGGGGGGGAAAGGGAGGGTACGGGCTTGCAGAGTAGCCCTTGACCCCGAAGCTGCCAGCAGAGGACACGCTGTGAAGGCACGCCAGACCCCAACCCAACACCCCAAATCGTAAAACCCAAATCAAAACCTTCAGCCATGAACTCAAGACTCTGAGCTCTACATCCCCGGGCTCAGGCCGCATAGCTTAAAAACCCGGTCTACATGGCAGGCAGCATGTTTCGACAAGAGCTGAAGGCCGGCACTTGAAAGAGTGGCGAAAGCAGTTTTGAATGTCGAACGGCCAGTCGCACAGCAACGCATGCGAGGCAAACTGCGGTAGATTTGGCAATTTCTCTTCCTGTCGATTCCTGCCTCCAGGTCTTCATCGAAGGGGTCATGATCATCAGAACCTAAACTCAGCAGGGGAGGGCATGAAATCCAAATAGCTCGAAGCACAACGGCAACATCTTACAGCATTGCGAGCTCTGAGCGCAGATGGGTTTCGGCAGGTTCAGAAAACAGTAGCCATAGGATTTCCATGGGTCGGGCCTGTCCTTGTGAAAGACTCTAGTGTTAGAGAAACCTCTTGTTCTTGCTGGGGCCGTTCATACGGTCCTACTGGTGCCACGGATCTCCTCATCCTTACATGTCTCTACAGTGTCTCGCAGAGATCTGCTCGAGCTCTGCAGGTGCAATGAATGGGTAGGCAAAGCCATCCGAAGAGGCGCACGAACAAACGATAGCAACAAGAGCAGACGTAAGCGCAAAGGGGCTTCCAGGGTCACTAACACACAGGTGTTCGCTGCCCCATCCGGCCGCTTAACCCCCAAACATATGTTGAAACCCCTCGACCCTAAGTATTATAAACCCTAGACCCAAGCTCCACAGCTCAACCCTGCTGCCTTGTTGGACGTTGGCGAAGTGAATTCCTCACCGGAGCGTCAGTCCAAAAACTCAAACGAATGTTTCCTGTTTTGCACTACCCCCCCCCCCTATGTTTAAACCCGTATAGCATAATGCTCACGGAAGAAGCAACCCTGTGGGCGACGACCCCGCAAGCCAAAGCTCCAACTCTGCCTCGCCCCAAGCACCATGTTCTTAAATCATCTTAAGTCCAGCATATCCAGGGAAATATACGGTTAAATTTTGAGAATAAGAATCTTACTTGTCCAGTATCCTAGCGGTTAACCTTTGGGATTGCATGGGGCGTAAAGTGGAAGCCAGACAGTTGGAACATCACTATCCTCATGCCCCCATGTTCCAACTTTCTGGGATTCACTATAAGGGATCTGGTACACCCAAGAGGTTAAAGGCTATTTCCTGCTCCACTGTATAAGACTCTAACTTGCGGAAACCCCAAACCCTAAACCTCAACCCCAAGAGAGGGCTTGAGGGCGTGCGTTTTGGGGTCTAAGGCTCAGGGTTAGGGTTTCGGGAATGGGGATACGGTTTCGGATTTCGGGTTCAGCGTTGGGGGAAGATTGTTCCGAAACTCAGGAAAATCGGGTGTCTTAGGTTTAGGCGTCATTCCAGGCGCTAGTAGACATGACCCCGCCACCGTACCATGGGGGTTTGCCACTTCATGCTTGCGCAGGTTGAGTGAAGGTATTGACTTCACGGTTTTGATTCACGCTCCGGTCAGGCAGAAGTTGGCGGAGTCACTTCTTCTGAACCTAAATTTCCTCGGTTCCTGAGGCGCCTTTCACACTTCGCAAGGCTTCTGAAGGTCAAACTCCTGTCCTGGAAAGTAACAAGTTTAATCTAAGACATGCCGATGATACCAATCCCCCCGCCTCTTCGATTGAAAGCTCGTAGCAGCAAGTGCAAGTCCTGCAGTGCGACATCTCGCAACCCGAAACAAGCCCCAAACCCTTGTCCGACAACTAAAGCCGATCACACCGGGCTCTCAACCCATGCATCCTAGACTGGCGCTCCGATGACGAAAGCTCTCAAGCTGGCTTTGGGTGAGGCGAGCTTGTATTCTTATTTGTCCAGTATCCTAAGGGACCCAAAGGCTAACGTTAGGGACTATCTATCGATTACAGTACCCCAACAAGGTCAAAAGACTCCCTCAAAACACAGTGTAGTAGTTGGTCAAGGGCTCCTTCCTCGTGGTGACAAAGTTGGGAAGGTAGTCTGTCCCCGAAACTCCTAAATTAGGCCCTAAACCTGAGCAAAAAGGTCACGTCGTCAACCGTGACCGCGGGGCTTTTGCGCATTGAGGGTTTGCACCGTGTTTG